ATAATTAGCCAATACATCTGGGTCCAGGGAAGGCTTCTTAAGGAGGGGCCTCACCACCGCTTCCTTCAAGGCTACGGGGAAGACACCCTCCCGTAGAGAAGCGTTTATAATTCCCTGGAGCCAGGCTCGTGTACCCTCCCGGGCAGCCAGTACCAGCCAGGAGGGGCACGGATCCAATAAACATGTGGTTGCATTCAGCCTCCCCAGGATCCTGTCCACGTCCTCGGGAGCCACAGAGTCAAACTCCTCCCATATAATAGTCTCAAGACCTGCTCCCGTCTCCTCCCCCGGGGCCACCCAGTCGGAGTCAAGGCCTTCTCGAATCTGAGCGACTTTGTCATGCAGATATTGAGCAAAATCCTCAGCCCTCCCCTCCAGGGGATCCTCCCCGCCCTCAACTGAAGGAGGGAGCGGGTCACCCTGAAGAGGGTGGCCGGGCGATTATCTGATGACGCAATGAGGGTGGAGTAGTAATTAGACCTCGCCACCCTCATCGCCACTAGGTAGGATCTAACCTGCATCCTTGCCTGTGCTCGGTCGGATTCGATTCGGCTAGCCCTCCAACTGCTCTCTAGGCGTCTTTTCCGGTGCTTCATCTCTCTCAGCTCCTCGGTAAACCAGGGAGCCAGTTGAGATCTGCGCCGGGTCAGAGGCCGCAAAGGCACGACTCGGTCCAGTGCTGCGGCAGCGGCCACATCCCGGGCCGCCGCCAGATTTTCAGCCAAGTCGTGAACTAGATCCTCCGGATATGGCCCATGCTCCGTCAGGAACCTCTCTGGGTCCATCAGGCGCCTGGGGCGGAACCATCTTTGCGGTTCCGACTCCCTGCGGCGGGGGGGAGCGGTCCGGAAGTCCATCCTAAGGAGTGAATGGTCTTAACATGACGGGCTCTATAACTACCTCCCCCATTTCCAGATCATTCTGCCACTGGCCAGAGACAAAAATTAGATCCAGTGTGTTTCCTCCCGTGTGAGTGGGGGCATAAACTAATTGGGTCAAGTCCAAGGCCGTCATGGAAGCCAAGAACTCCCGAGCTGCCGCCGACGTTTCGCCCGCCGATGGCAGATTGAAATCCTCCATGACTATAAGTCTGGGGGTCTCAACTGCCACCCCGGCTATTACGTCAGCCAGCTCAGGCAGGGCCGTTGATACATAGCAGGGAGCCAGGTATATAATCAACAGGCCCACTTGTACCCCTTGCCCCCACTTCACAAGGAGGGACTCTCCACCGTCTATCTGAGGCACAGTGGTCTCCCTCGGGCATAGGCTCTCCCT